AAAGAGTTACTTGTCTAAGAGAACACAGAGGGTGTTCTTTAATGGAAACCTCTCAAACATAATCCAGGTAGAATCAGGAATTCCCCAGGGCAGCTGTCTAGGCCCCTTGCTTTTTCCCATCTTTACTAACGACATTTGGGTAAAGCCAGTGTGTCTATGTAGGCGGATGACTCAACACTATATACTTCAGCTACTACAGCAACTGAAATAACGGCAACACTTAACAAAGAGTTGAAGTTAGTTTCGGAATGGGTGGAAAGGAATAAGTTAGTCCTGAATATTTCCAAAACTAAAAGCATTGTATTTGGGTCAAATCATTCACTAAACCCTAAACCTCAACTACATCTCGTAATGAATAATGTGGAAATAGAGCAAGTTGAGGTGACTAAACTGCTTGGACTAACCCTGGATTGTATACTGTCATGGTCAAAGCATATTGATACAACAGTAGCTAAGATGGAGAAAAGTATGTCCATAATTAAGCGCTGCTCTGCCTTCTTAACAACACTATCAACAAGGCAGGTCCTACAGGCCCTAGTTTTGTCGCACCTAGACTACTGTTCAGTAGTGTGGTCAGGTGCCACAAAGAGGGACTTGGGAAAATTGCAGTTGGCTCAGAACAGGGCAGCACAGCTGGCCCTTAAAACTACATGGAGAGCTAACATTAATGACATGCATGTCAGTCTCTCCTGGCTCAGAGTGGAAGAGAGATTGACTTCATCACTGCTTGTTTTTAAGAGGTGTTGACAAGCTGAATGTACCGAGCTGTCTGTTTGGAATACTGGCACACAGCTCGGACACCCATGCATTCCCCACAAGACATGCCACCAGAGGTCTCCTTCACAGTCCCCAGAATAGACTATGGGAGGCTCACAGTACTACATAGAGCCATGACTACATGGAACTCTATTCCACATCAGGTAATTGATGCAAGAATCAGATTTTTAAAAACAGGTAAAAATACACCTTATGGAACAACAGGGACTGTGAAGAGACACACACAAGAGTATAGACACATGCATACGCACACATTCTGATATTTTTGTATGGTGGTATTAAACATTTTGTATTGTAGATAGGTGGTGGTGTAATAATGTCATATGATGTACTGTTTTATATTTTGTTTTATATGTAATGTAAGTGCTTTAATATGTTTGGACCCCAGGAAGAGTAGTGGCTGCCTTGGCAGCAGCTAATGGGGATCCTTAATAAATACAACAACAAAAAATCCAATCCTCATGTGGGGGAGTGAACGGATGCACACTCCTGGAAGAAGGGTAGAGATTCGGAACGCAAGCCATGATTTTCATGAATACATTATCTGACCATTCTAAAAATGACCAGTAACTATGTATAGCATTAATCAGTTTACAGTGAGTAGTGTGTTGAGAAATTAGAGCAGAAATCTGGACATCAGGAAGGTTTTATCAAGGTTAAATGTGTGGTCCTCTGTAGCTCAGCTGGTAGAGCACGGCGCTTGTAACGCCAAGGTAGTGGGTTCGATCCCCGCGACCACCCATACACAAAAAATAATAATGTATGCACGCATGACTTTAAGTCGCTTTGGATAAAAGCGTCTGCTAAATGGCATATTATTATTTAAATTGGGTCATCAAAGCATGTAAAATTCACTGTTTATGTTCAAGTTGTATGCTGAACAGAATCTCCACATATCTCCCTTGAAAACTAGCATGCATGGTTTTAAACACAGAAATTACAATGCTAAAAAATAAGTACACACAACTGGACGAAACTGGCAAGAGAGGCTACGTGTATTTATTAATAGTATGTACAATGTATACCATCATAAAGTTGACATAATATATTGACAAAGTCAAAGTATTAATATTGCCCCCTGCTTATTTGAGAGTTGTCTCTTGATAATCTCGCTCACCTTATGAATCTCTCATTTTATTGATTTAATTTAGTTTAATTTCATCATTATTCTCTATTAATTATCCTTAAAGTGTATCTGAGGCACACAGGGAAAACATGAATAAAATAGGCGTAAAAAATTAATACAACAAAAACATCAAAATCAAAACTATCATATATTTACTTATATATGTGGGTGTACATATCTATAAAAACTGTAACTACATGATAGCATTTTGTTTGAGCCAGAAGAAACTTTAAGAATTGATGGTTTATCTTGATTTTCCTTTAACAGTGTCACTGTGGAAAGTTGCTCATTATTTCTGCTCTCTATCTATCTCTCCCTGTCTGTAGTCTTCTGAGTGTTACTGGATTCACTTATTCTCATGCTTTTCCAGCCCATCACTCTCTGTTCCTTCAACTGTCACTTTTTTCACCCTGTTACAGAGACACACAAACCTACTGTAGCACAGAAAATCCATTTTAAGGATATTTGGGACTTCAGAGTAAACAAACGAAAAACAGAATTGTCTCCACCTTTTAGCTCAAGGGTTGGAGATTTGCTCAGAAATAAACATGTACTGTAGATGTGTGGCATTTATATATTTTTGTTTATGTGTGTGTGCATGTATGTGTGTATGCACTTAAAGTATGTGTGTGTGAACACATTTGTGTTAACAGAAAGATCTGGTAATGTGTGACATTTCAAATGTGTGTTTTAGTTTAGCATATGACAGGATTTTATTGAATTTGGTCACGTCTTTAATGGTAGTTCCAATTACAAATGTATTATACCCGTGCGTGTGCTGTGTATATATACAGCTCTGGAAAAAATTAAGAGACCACTGCAATTTTTTCTTAAATCAGCATCTCTACATGTATGACAGCCATTCCATTCCAGTGTCTGTTGAACTCCAACACAGGCACACCTCATTCTACTGAATTAGGTACTGATTAGGTGATCACCTGAACCAAATCTTATTTAACGAGGAAAAGTATAAAAACCACTGCTGTGGTCATCACTATCCTCTTGCAATAGGACCAGCTGGATGGCAAAAACAGAGCTAATAGTACCTCAAAAGTAATATTGATCAAAAAATAGCTATTGACCATGCCAAAAGAGTTGAAAAGGAAAGTTTTGAGTGAGGAAAAGAAGGGTTCAATTCTGGCTTTACTGGCAGAGGGATACAGTGAGCGTCAGGTTGATTCCATCCTTAAAATGTCAATGACGGCGGTTCATAAGAACAAGTTCAAGCAGCAGACATTGGGGACAACAAAGCTACAGACCGGCAGAGGGCGAAAACAACTCTCTACTGACCGGGATGACTGCAAACTAATTCGAATGTCACTCAACAACCGTAGGATGACATCAAGTGACCTACCAAAAGAATGGCAAACGGCAGCTGGGGTGAAGTGCACGGCGAGGACGGTTCGAAACAGGCTCCTAGAGGCAGGGCTGAAGTCGTGCAAAGCTAGAAAAAAAGCCCTTCATCAATGAGAAGCAAAGAAGAGCCAGGCTGAGGTTTGCAAAAGACCATAAGGATTGGACCGTAGAGGACTGGAGTAAGGTCATCTTCTCTGATGAGTCCAATTTTCAGCTTTGCCCAACACCTGGTCGTCTAATGGTTAGACGGAGACCTGGAGAGGCCTACAAGCCACAGTGTCTCGCACCCACTGTGAAATTTGGTGGAGGATCGGTGATGATCTGGGGGTGCTTCAGCAAGGCTGGAATCGGGCAGATTTGTCTTTGTGAAGGACGCATGAATCAAGCCATGTACAAGGTTGTCCTGGAAGAAAACTTGCTTCCTTTTGCTCTGACATTGTTCCCCAACTCTGAGGATTGGTTTTTCCAGCAGGACAATGCACCATGCCACACAGCCAGGTCAATCAAGGTGTGGATGGAGGACCACCAGATCAAGACCATGTCATGGCCAGCCCAATCTCCAGACCTAAACCCCATTGAAAACTTCTGGAATGTGATCAAGAGGAAGATGGATGGTCACAAGCCATCAAACAAAGCCGAGCTGCTTGACTTTCTGCGCCAGGAGTGGCATAAAGTCACCCAACATCAATGTGAAAGACTGGTGGAGAGCATGCCAAGAAGCATGAAAGCTGTGATTGAAAATCAGGGTTATTCCACCAAATATTGATTTCTGAACTCTTCCTAAGTTAAAACATTAGTATTGTGTTGTTTAAAAATGAACATGAACTTATTTTCTTTGCATTATTCGAGGTCTGACAACACTGCATCTTTTTTGTTATTTTGACCAGTTGTCATTTTCTGCAAATAAATGCTCTAAATGACAATATTTTTATTTGGAATTTGGGATAAATGTTGTCAGTAGTTTATAGAATAAAATAAAAATGTTATTTTTACCCAAACACATACCTATAAATAGTAAAACCAGAGAAACTGATAATTTTGCAGTGGTTTCTTCATTTTTTCCAGATCTGTATATCTGTTGTGGGTAGTGTGGGCATTTGTTTGTAATTCTGGTGTACTCTTCCTGCATACAATGTGATTGGTAACATGTACAATTGCAAGTGGCATTTGTGTGTCTGTGTAAACTCATACCTAATTGGCGTTATATATATATTATGTACAATGTTTCAATGTGTATGTGTATGTGTACATCTTTACATACAGTGTGAATACAGTGTGCAAACTATGTGTACCAAAATGTGAGATGTGAATACTTTGTATGATCAATATTGTGTGTGCGTGTGGGTATGTGTGTGTATGTATGTGTATGTCTATGTGTAATGTGTGTATGCGTGTGTGCATGGCTCAGGTAACTTGTCAGTTCCAGATCTTGAGGAAGCTGTCCCAGGACCCAGTGGCCACCGCCATGCCATCATCAGTCACGCCTAGACAGCTCACGCGATTGTCATGGCCGGCTAACACTCCTGACACAGAGAGGGACAAACAAACAAGTGTCATCATATGGTGTCCTGGTTAGCTATCCTATCAATCCACCATCTTACAATATCCCTTAACTGTTAACACAGGGATCCCTTAGAGGGTTGAATGAAACTTTACTGAGATCAGCTTGTGAATTGAAGTCTAACATTTCAATGAAATCAGAATATATACCATTCCCTTTGAAGTTATAATTTGTTTTCAGTCACGGGTCTGATGCATAGCCAGACACAACTATACAACAATGGCTGCCAGCTAGATGACAGCCGCTCGCTCCTACTCCACCCCACCACACCCCACTGACCTGCTCGATCTCCCTTCATGGCGTCCCAGATGTTGCAGTTGAAGTCGTCATAGCCGGCCAGCAGCAGCCGTCCGGAGCGGGAGAAGGCCACCGAGGTGATGCCACAGATGATGTTGTCGTGAGAGTACAGGCTGAGCTCCTGGTCGGCACGCAGGTCAAACAGCCTGCAGGTAGCGTCGTCGGAGCCGGTGGCAAAGGCGCTGCCATTGGGAAAGAACTGACGAGGAGAGTGAGAGGGAGTGACAGATATGGGTTAGATCAGCTAGCCATGCACCTAGCATTAGGTACATTAGACACTCAGAATTAGCTAGTGCAGCTAACATTAGGGACTTTGGGAACAGTGACATGTCTTAGAGTATGGTTTCCTGGCTTAATGCCATGACATGAACCAGAAAGCAGGTCACCAGTGGCCCCCAGCCTGTCAGCACACTCACACAGACTGCGTTGATGTCAGACTCATGGCCTGTGAACGTCTGTCGGCACATGCTGTCCCTGATGTCCCACAGCTTGATAGAGGCGTCACAGGCTCCGGACACAAAGGTGCGGAAGTCTGGGGACAGGGACAGGCTCATGACGTCACCACTGTGGCCCGAAAATACTGTGGTCTGCTGGCTTGTCTCGATGTCCCACAGTGCACTGGGAAAGAGAACAGAAGAGGGACCCACTGGATTTAATAACTGTTATCAGATCATTTTGAGTGTAAGGTTAGGCTAGCTCATAGCTAGTTACAGTATAGACAATATACTGTAGTATATTTATATTCGCATTCTCTTCAGCCTTGGTTATTGATCAATCAGGACTCACCAGGTAGTGTCTCCTGAACTTGTGATGATTTGATTGTCATCGATGAAACGGCAACAGGACAGGTAACCTGTAGCACAAATAAAAACATATATTAGAACACTGACCACACCATATCAATGCATGGTACTCCTACTAATGCCTCGATCACACCGACAGCGTCATTGCATTTTGGTACACCAGAAGTACATTCATTTTCAATGGAACGCTGCGTTTGCCTTGCAGCATTGCATTGCAGAGGCAGTTGCAGTGCCTTCTGTGTGTTGCATACGTTGGATTTATTGAACGTATGCTTCAAACTGTATGCGTAGACGGCTTGACAGAAATGGTAGCAGAAGGTGAATGTTGAACTGTTCTTGCACACATATCCAGATGATGCTGCGTACCATTTTGCGCAATGACACTGTAGGTGTGATCGAGGCGTAAGACTTAACTTCAACAATACTTGTCCTACCAAATATGAGTCATTTGAGAGCCACAGGTGAGCTAGCGTTGTAACACAGCTAAGGGACTCACTGGGTTTTCTGGCTGAAGTCTCAGCTCATTATAATTGTGTTGCCCTGTGACTAATTAACCATGTGAATTAAAGTCTTCCTTGTTTAGCGGTTTGGGACCTGGGAATCCCTGTGGGACAGGGAAGGAATACTCAACTGAACTGCATATACAACCATATGTAGTGTCACTGGGGGCAATTAGAATCAGGGAGGTTCAAATAAACTCACATAACGTAGCTAAGACACTTCCATGATATCTCAATAAAAACGAACACAAAATGACTCAAGCTCAGTGACATACAGTACCAGTCAAAACTTTGGACACACCTACTCATTCAAGGGTTTTTCTTTAGTTTTACTATTTTCTACATTGTAGAATAATAGTGAAGACATCAAAACTATGACATAACACATATGGAATCATGTAGTAACCAAAAAAGTGTTAAACAAATCAAAAAATATTTGAGATTTGAGATTCTTCAAAGGAGCCACCCTTTGCCTTGATGACAGCCTTGCACACTCTTGGCATTCTCTCAACCAGCTTCATGAGGAATGCTTTTCCAACAGTCTTGAAGGTGTTCCCACATATGCTGAGCACTTGTTGGCTACTTTTCTTTCACTCTGCGGTCCAACTCATCCCAAGCCATCTCAATTGGGTTGAGGTCGGGTGATTGTGGAGGCCAGGTCATCTGATGCAGCACTCCATCACTCTCCTTGGTCAAATAGCCCTTACACAGCCTGGAGGCGTGTTTTGGGTCATTGTCCTGTTGAAAAAACAATGATTGTCCCACTAAGCGCAAACCAGATGGGCTGGCGTATCGCTGCAGAATGCTGTGGTAGACATGCTGGTTAAGTGTGCCTTCTAAATAATTCACAGACAGTGGCACCAGCAAAGCACCCCCACACCATCACACCTCCTCCTCCGTGCTTCACGGTGGGAACCACACACGCGGAGATAATCCGTTCACCTACTCAGCGTCTCACAAAGACACAGCGGTTGGAACCAAAAATCTCAAATTTGGACTCATCAGACCAAAGGACAGATTCCACCGGTCTAATGTCCATTGCTCGTGTTTCTTGGCCCAAGCAAGTCTCTTCTTCTTATTGGTGTCCTTTAGTAGTGGTTTCTTTGCAGCAATTTGACCATGAAGGCCTGATTCACGCAGTCTCCTCTGAACAGTTGATGTTGAGATGTGTCTGTTACTTGAACTCTGTGAAGCATTTATTTGGGCTGCAATCTGAGGTGCAGTTAACTCTAATGAACTTATTCTCTGCAGTAACTCTTGGTCTTCCTTTCCTGTGGCGGTCCTCATGAGAGCCAGTTTCATCATAGCGCTTGATGGTTTTTGTGAAATGTTCCGTATTGACTGACCTTCATGTCTTAAAGTAATGATGGACTGTCGTTTCTCTTTGCTTATTTGAGCTGTTCTTGCCATAATATGGACTTGGTCTTTTACCAAATAGGGCTATCTTCTGTATACCACCCCTACCTTATCACAACCCAACTGATTGGCTCAAACGAATGAAGAAAGAAAGAAATTCCACAAATTAACTTTTAACAAGGCACACTTGTTAATTGAAATGCATTCCAGGTGACTACCTCATGAAGCTGGTTGAGAGAATGCCAAGAGTGTGCAAAGCTGTCATCAAGGCAAAGAGTGGCTACCTTGAAGAATCTCAAAAATAAAAAATAATATATAGATTTGTTTAACACTTTTTTGGTTACTACATGATTCCATATGTGTTATTTCATAGTTTTGATGTCTTCACTATTATTCTACAATGTAGAAAATAGTAAAAAATTAAGAAAAACTCTGGAATGAGTAGGTGTGTCCAAAGTTTTGACTGGTACTGTAGGTATTTGTGTGTAGTAATGCTTCTTCACCTGTGTGTCCGGGTAATTCCCTGCTGACCCTGACGTTGCCCTCGCGGGTCTTCAAGCAGTAGATGGAGCAGATGTTGTCCAGACCTCCACAGGCCACGTAGTTACCAGAGGGGGCATACGCACAGGTCATCACCCAGGAGGACCGCAGGGGGATAGCATGCATCTGGAGAGGGGAGAAGAGTTGGTCACTGTGTGTCACAGAATAAAGGCATGGCCATGGACAAGGACAAGGACAGAGTAGCATCATAAACGGAGCCAGGCGCCAAGCCCACATCCAGACAGAGAAGGAGCAGAATAGTAGTCCATTGTGCTTCCTCTATATTGAATTTGTAGGATCTTTTCGGGAGAGCCATTGCATAATATAATTTACAATGTTTGAATGGCAAAGTGACTCGGGTAGGTTATGATGTAAGCAGAAGTATGAGATGAGTCAAAACACACATTCCTAGTAAAGAAAGCTTTTCAGTCGGCTCCAATTTCATTTCCAATCCCTGAAGGCTGCCTAGTTCGCTGAGAGTGAGTCAACCTATTCAGGCCCCTTGGTGAGACCAGGGGAGATGTTGTTATTTGGGTATAGATCTCACCTTGTTAGTGGTGTAGCTGTCCCAGATGATCAGTTTTCCATCTTGAGAGGCACTGACCAAGAGCCTGTGGAGACAAAGGTGTAAAACCATTGTATTATACCTCATCAAAAAAAGCACAACTTGTACCACCATGTGTGGTATATGAGTGAGAGCGTGTGAAGAGTGGGAGAAGCCCCCTAATGGGTAGGCGGAACATTACACCCACCTAGAGTCTGTGCCCCAGTGCATGGCATAGATCTTAGCCAGGTGGCCACGGAGAGTGCGCCTCGTCCGCATCTGAATCCTCCCCACAGGATCCAGACCTGACGTTATCTGGTTGACACACAAACACACAAAAAAGCTATGCAAAGAAGAAAAGTTCATCACAGGGTTACTGTGTCAATGTAATGCACTGTAATGCACTGTATTCTGATATTTTTTCAAACATCAGATCTTTTCACATCAGATATTTTACAGAGCTGATCTGATTGGGCAAAAGACCAATTAGTGAAAAAAAGATCAGAATTGGGCTGGCTGTGTAAAAGCAGCCATACTCTCTTTTATGTGGGTATGTGTGATACTTACCTGTGTCAGGGTTGAGTCCCCACATGCTTTCCTGGCATCCTAAGAGACAGAGAAACAGAGAGTGGTTAGACAAGCATTAGCAATCTCTCTCAATCTCACCCAGGCCAATATCCAACCTCTCAATATGGTTTGTTAGGCCTACTCCCTTTTCCACCAACCCCCTTCTCTTCTAAACCCGATGGTTTTACTGCTTTCATTGAGATCATAAAGTGTCTCAGAGTAGGATTGCTGATCTAGGATATATCCTGTAATCTAAAAGGCTAAACTGATCCTAGATCAGCATACCTAGCCTCTGGGACTCTTTGTAAATGTGTACCCAGATCAGTAACATTCTCTGACACACATACTCTTATCTGGTTCCTAAGTTGCTCCGCCTCCTGACGCAGCTGCTCCAGCTCGCTCATTTTGGATTGGTCCCTGGCCTCGTCGATGTCCTCTGTCACTCAGTCAGTCACCTGGTGGGAACAAAGGATGGAAAAACAGCATGAGAATTTAAACTTAAAACGTTGATGTAGATCGCCCAGACTATGATATCAAGTTCAAAGTTAGGATTCCGTCTAAGAGCAGAAATGTCCAATTAGAATGATGGACAGTGCCTGCGTCAGAACAAACCAATCTTCTGCTTGTAATGTAATATGCGCTATGTTTGGACATGGCATGCGTATCAGATTGCATGATTTGATTGCAGTGTTATCATGGTGAGTAATCGACTCCAACTACATCAGAGGTCTCGTGGTCCTCTGCTGGTCTCAACCTGATCAATGGGTGTGATCTGATCATAATCATTTTGGCATATTTCACCTGGAGGCTGGTTGTTCAACACCATCACAAACATGGCTGCAGAGCGGCAGCTAGATTCAGAGTAAATTGGGCATATAAACTGTAAAATAATCCTTAATTCAGTATTTTAAGTGCATGGTTTACTAACATAGCACATCTAAAATACGTAAAACTCTGTAATCTGTATGTTTATGGTAGTACAGCCTTGTCTGGTTTAACTGTGGAGAATAATCTCTAATCTGGTATAATCTGAGAGAGCTTCATAATTTAATGGGCTCTCTCTGATATCCATGAACCACTTAATGCACAGAAACAAGATTAGGATTACTGCAGGCAGGCAGGCAGGCAGGCATTTATCATTTATTACAGACACATTTAACAAAATGTGTGTGTGTGTTTGTGTCTGTCTGTATTGTGTTCTAAAAGCAGTTTTGAATCTCTATTTAGCATAGCTATCCTTCAAGGAATTTGCCTGTGGGATATTTGCATAATTACTATGTTATTACGTGGCTATTACTATGTTTTAACAATGACTTGTTATTGATTCAACATTGCCGCGATTATGGTCGATTCTAGTGGACACAAAATGTCATTGTTTAAGCTGCAGTATCAAAACGAATGAAAACTATTTTACAGCAAGATCTCGATCACCTAGTGAAAAACACTACTGAAAATGTCTGATACTAGCATTATCACAAACTACATTTCAAAATTACTACATTTTTCACCCGCTAGACCTCTATTGTTACCGTCACAGTTGAATGTGACTGAAAATACTATGGTAGGCCTATTTGTATTATATTTTGTGTGCAGCGCTATTTTAAATTCACCAAATCAGTATTGGCTGTACCATACACTTCCATATCAATATGCTTAACACTACAGATGTGTTTTTGATCACATGCACAGGGAATTCGAAATTGGACCCAGGGGTAATAAGCACTCCCATCTCCACGAGAGAGAGAGAGAGAGAGAGAGAGAGAGGTTTCACATTCAAATCCTATTCTAAAATGGGCACTAGTATTTGCATGAGTTGGTGGGCCTATTCAAATTCATTAAGACACTGATGAAATACCTCTGACCATTGTACTCTGCTTTGCACATTAGATTTGCATCACTGTCGATACTGTACCTCTGTTAGTGGCGGTGTACCGGTACTTGGAAAACACGCATATTAAAAAAGAAAATACATTCACAGACAGGTACACAGCAGTATCAGGTAGTATCACATTTAGTGTTCACATTTTCCATATTTCCTCTAATCCCAGTGCCTCAATGTTAACATTACCTAACACTCACAACACCTGTGCCATGTTATTAAAGGCCTCCAACTCCACATACACAAACAAACAAACAGGAACATCCACACATCCACATCATCACCATCTACTAGGCTAGGGAGAGGAGCAATTAACTGGGTCATTGTTCCCGTTGGGAACCTCCAACCAGATGGATCACACAGCACTAATGGAAGGCGACCGGGGGAAATTGGTGGGTCCCAGTCTCCTGGCACAGCTGCTCATTTAGCCAATAAAGCTCTGAGGGGGTTGGTGGTGCTGCATCACCATCAAATACCAGGGTGGGAGAGGAGTGGGCATCATGGGATGGGATGAAACACCATCGCCCACTGACATCATCAAATAGCCCTTTTTTGAATTCCTACTTTCCCCAATGCTTTCTTTGACTGTATGTACAATGCATTCCACTTCGCCAGGCAGTCACCAACCCAATCCGCTGTTGTCTGGACACACGTTCAAGTTCCTAACCCTCCCTCAAGAACATCATTTTATGGGAGCATTTCTGGTAGAATTGGTTCAACAAGTGTTTGTCCACTAGTAAAATCACTTTGAAAGATGTATAAAATGATGCAAAACACAGGGCACGGCTATATGTAAATGTTCCTTATTGAGTATAAGTAGTTGTGGACCTCTACTTGTGTTAGTGTGTGTGTGTGTGTTAGTGTGTGTGTGTGTGTTAGTGTGTGTGTGTGGGGGGACGACGACGACGACGACACAGATTGTTACAGGCCTAATGATGGAACACTGCTGAATGGTGATGATGATACATTGTAACGAACAACCCACGTGTCCAGTGCTGACTAGGTGGCCATCAATGTAACCATAACAGCTTGTTAAGCATTTTCTCCAAGACAAGATATTACCAATGATAACTGACAGACAGAAGCTACCTAAACTATAGGTCAAAGACTTGCTTCTCATTTGGAAAAATGATGCAAAATACAGTGTGGCCCCACCCCTTATGTTCATGCACAGTAAACGATAGCCTACTTGGTCTATTCGGTTGACATTTCACAGCGAACCAAGAGTGGTAAACTAATAAGCACATTATATTCGCGTTATTGGATTGACTGCATTACAGCATCATTTTATATAATAGGATTCTAAATAAATTCCTTGAATAAAATGTAAAATCCATCTTAAGGTCAAATAGCAGCATAGACACTGTAGAACAGCCCTCCCTCATCAACAAATAGGTTGCTTACATCGGCCTTGGGGCGCAGCTCAGACGGCTAGGCTACTCCTTCACTACAAGCAACAATAGCCTACCCAGTACCCACAAATGTATAGAGGCTACTTGATATAGGTAGCTGTTAGGCTACTAGATGAATTTAAGGTCACAATTCCATGATTATAGCAGTGAGCCCCGGGCATTCACGGTTAATTGCACTGACACCCTGGCAACCCTGTAATTTTTCCAAGCCGCTAAATATGCAAACACTTTACGGGGTTGCCTATGTTAATATAGGTTATTGCAAGAATGTACAGCAAGTTATGCTATATGCAAATATAACAACATTTGGTACAGTGGGGAGGTTTGTCCATATGTCTATATTTAGGCTACCAAAAAATACAGATGAAAAATAATTTCATCGAAATGATGAGCCTAGTCATGAATAGGCCCATCACTGGTAGGCTACATCATCCAGCCATCTTACATCCATGACAACTCTGACAGCATTTTATAATGGATGGCTGGCTACCTGTTTGGTAATGTTTCCGATGAGGTTGGTAGTCTTTCTCGAATACAGTCTGGATGTAATGTTTCAAAAAGGCTGGGGATGTTTATTGGCCCCTTTTTCCCTTTGAAAAGAAAACAATATAGGGACAAAAATATGCAGATATTTTCAATATCCTCTCTGCTCCTTGTCTTCTCTAAATTCTTGCTCAGTGAATCTCCAATGTAGGCTACACATCAAATAAATATTAGTTCGAAGTACAGAGACACCATATCTCCGTTTGACTGGACCTCTTGAAAAGATGAGTTCTGCTGTTGTGTTCCCGTTTCCTCTTCAGAATGGTTTGCCTTTCTACGCCCGAGACCTTCATAAACTCGAAAACATCTTTGTTGGAGCGGATTGAACACAATTGCAGTCTGTCCAAGCATCAAAGAAAATGCATTGAACCATATGAAATTAGTAAATAGCTTTTTTATGACTCAGTTTTTCTCTTGATTGTGGTTTTCGTGATCCTCGCTTCCTTCCTCCTCTGCTAGTTCGCGGATATCTTCCTCCTCCCTCTCTCCCCTCACTCCCTCGCTTGTAATGACCGTCGCCTCCTCGTCAAAAAATGAATTATTAAATAAATTGCCAAACACAGAGGCTTAAGCTCTTGAGAGAAACATAAAAATAATATTTTAAAAGCAACTGGGCTATCTTGCCGGAGGAGCAGGAAACCCACCCATTGGTACACAAATTTAAAAAAAAAACATGCAATAGGCCTAATGCATATTCACATGAGGTGTTCTTGTATTCAAAGCGCTAAATTTCAGTATTCTACTAAAATAACGTAGTTTCAGATTAAATCACCCGGTCTGCGCTTGCTAACGTTAGATCTCGTAAGCACGATTCAACCACACCCATTTCGGAGAGACTGTACCATTTTAGAAACCCCCTCTGATGTCTACTGGATAGGCTACGATTGGGATTACGCTCAGATGGTCCTCGATCTACTGCAGATTTAGAACATCACAGGGCCGCATTTGTCTCCTTAATGAGAACCCTTTTCGTCTCTTAGTTATTGATTAGGCCTAAGACTATATCCCTCAGTACAGTGTGCACTTATAGCGTTAACTACTTCCACTGTAGGAAAATAACTGCAAGAGCCCACCCACCTAAAAAAAATAACTGTTGAAGTGGCTCCAATCGTCCTCAATTCATCACTCATAGCAGATTTCTTACTTCGTCCCCTTCACTTTTTGATTAAACTACTTGTGTAATTAATACTTCAGAGTAGACTAATTACTCTGAAGCACTGTATTATCCCTAGAGATGTAGGCTATACACCTAAGGGTTATTTTATAATTAGCATATGTGTGTGAGAGAGCAAGGCCATAGGCTGTTGAGAGCTGGGGTTTTATCAAGCCATGGTTTTATATTCATGATAGTGAATAATCCGCTCATTTCTAAATCCTCTGTCTGTCCAGATTTTTTTTCAAATTTGCCCTTCATTTACTGTCATTGACTGTGTGAACGTTACAGTGTGATAAAGAGGTCAGAGGCCTGTGCATGCACACACACACACACACACACACACACAATACATAATGCACACATAATATGCATAATCATTATTCTTATATATAATGCATTTTTAAACTGTCATTGAACTTGTATACACACACATGCATGCACACGAAACACACACACACACACACAATATGCATAATAATTCTATTATTATATTTTAATGCATTTGTAAGACAGGAGTAACCCAGAACCAAGCATCTGGTACTAAATGGCCATATGGGCCTGATAAATATATTCCCATGCTTTGACTAGAGCTGTCCATTGTTTAACCAAACAAACCAAGAATTCTTATTTATAATAATGACCCTAGGGTGGGGGGAAACCTAGGCCCTCAATCAGTCAAAACTGTTAACTGTTTCTTCTAGGCAAGACAAAAAAAGATTCTACCTCCTGAGAGAATGCATTTGAATCAACAAAACAATAACAAAAAAGCGAACTAAATTTCAATTTGATATACACTACTGGTCAAAAGTTTTAGAACACCTACTCGTTCAAGGGTTTTTCTTTATTTTTACTATTTTCTACATTGTAGAATAATAGTGAAGACATCAAAACTATGAAATAACACATATGGAATCATGTAGTAACCAAAAAAGTGTTAAACAAATCAAAATATATTTTATATTTGAGATTCTTGCCTTGATGACAGCTTTGCACACTCTTGGCATTCTCTCAACCAGCTTCACCTGGAATGCTTTTCCAACAGTCTTGAAGGAGTTCCCACATATGCTGAGCACTTGGCCCAAGCAAGTCTCTTCTTCTTATTGGTGTCCTTAAGTAGTGGTTTCTTTGCAGCAATTTCGACCATGAATGCCTGATTCACACAGTCCCCTCTGAACAGTTGATGTTGAGATGTGTCTGTTACTTGAACTTTGTGAAGCATATATTTGGGCTGCAATTTCTGAGGCTGGTAACTCTAATGAACTTATCCTCTGCAGCAGAGGTAACTCTGGGTCTTCCATTCCTGTGGCGGTCCTCATGAGAGCTAGTTTCATCATAGCGCTTGATGGGTTTTGCGACTGCACTTGAAGAAACTTTCAAAGTTCTTAAAATGTTCTGTATTGTCTGAACTTCATGTCTTAAAGTAATGATGGACTGTTGTTTCTCTTTGCTTATTTCAGCTGTTCTTGCCATAATATGGACTTGGTCCTTTACCAAATAGGGCTATCTTCTACCTTGTCACAACACAACTGATTGGCTCAAACGGATTGGCTCAAACACATTAAGAAGGAAATAAATACCACAAATTAACTTTTAAGACGGTACACCTGTTAATTGAAATGCATTCCAGGTGACGACCTCATGAAGCTGGTTGAGAGAATGCCAAGAGTGTGCAAAGCTGTCATCAAGGCAAAGGGTGGCTATTTTGAAGAATCTCAAATATAAAATACATTTAGATTTGTTTAGCACTTTTTTGGTTTCTACATGATTCCATATGTGTTATTTCGTAGTTTTGATATCTTCACTATTATTCTACAATGTAGAAAATAGTAAAAAATAAAGAAAAACCCTTGAATGAGTAGGTGTTCTAAAACTTTTGACCGGTAGTGTAAGTATGCTTATTCTAGGCAAAAATAATCTGTTTTTGGGGCTGATCCCAGAAACCCAGTGACTGGTTTTGGTTGAATGGGAGTCGGGACCTGCCACATCTAAAGAGAATGCATGATTTGCTCTTGTTGACACTCTGTGTGTCAGTGTATTCCAAAAGGTCATTGCAAAAGTCGAAAGGTGTACTTTGAAGTTCAACAGAATACAGTAGACTCTACCATCTCTGGGTCTGGCTGCAGTGCACTCTGTTTCAGACAAAGGGGTGATAGGGCTTGGACATCCACGGAAGTGAAACAGCGAGGCTGCAATATTAGAGGCAGGGACAAGCATCCTTCCCCTACACAAAGTAAGGCAATGGTATATCCCACCTGCCCTGTCCCTCTGCAGGCCATAAGGGACTGTACTAAATGAGGATAGGTTGCCTAGCAACAGCAAGGGCTTAAGAAAAGAGATGGACACAAGGAGCCATACATCCACAGATTGAAAAGACGCATGCATGCACATATTATACATGCCACAAAAAATGTCTTACTTATCTACACATAAGCATAAATGGTCCAATTTTTTTTGTTCCAATAGGGATTCCCCTAAATCAGAGCAAAGTCCACACTTAATATGCTTTACTTAAAAAGGCATTGTTAGCTGGATTAAATTCCAAAACCAGGTGACCGCTCTTATCTTTTGACCATAAAGCTTTGATTAAACCTTTAGATAAACATTTACATTTTAGTCATTTAGCAGACACTCTTATCCAGAGCGACTTACAGTTAGTGAGTGCATACATTATTATTTTTTATATATATATACATATATATATATATATTTTTATTTTTATTTTTTACTGGCCCCCCGTGGGAATCGAACCCACAACCCTGGCGTTGCAAATGCCATGCTCAACCAACTGAGCTACATCCCTGCCGGCCATTCCCTCCCCTATCCTGGACGACGCTGGGCCAATTGTGCGCTGCCCCATGGGTCTCCCGGTCGCGGCCGGCTACGACAGAGCCTGGATTCGAACCAGGATCTCTAGTGGCACAATGATGCATTTCGCAAATGTGACAAGTCCAGAGAGGCTGATGCTGATTTGATGCTCAGTTCTTTACTTAAACAGTGGGTGGCAGTGAAACGTTCAACAAAACAGAGACCATCATTTTCATAGAATGCAATGTATTCCCATTTTAAGAGAATGTCACCTACTAGGGCCATGAAGTCCCTGGATACGTTGTTGGGTCACATCAATATGAAGCCCTGTTCCCAAGGACACTGACTGCAAGAGTAGGATAGGAACAGTGTTGGGGAAGCTACTCTGAAAATATAGTTTACCAAGCTACCAATTACTTCTCACTGGAAGAAGTTAAGCTACACTAACGCTACCCTTAAAGGCCCAGTGCAGTCACAAATGTGAATTTCCAACCTGAACTCAGGCGTAGAAGTAACATAGTAAATGTAAATCCGAGACAACGGTCGCAACAACAGGGTCAAAGTTGAATGTCTCTTGCTCCTTCCCGGAAAAAGCAATGGCTATATAAAATTCTGAGCACACTTACAAGTCTCTCCTGGAGCTCGGTGTCCTGGCTCAGCCTGGTCTCCAGCAGCTCCAGGCCTTGCTGGTACCCCATCAGGAGATTGAGCTCATCAGGCAAGGACAAATCTCCTACCGACCCATTGGCCCATTGGTCCGATACTACCCGGACCTATAGAAAAAAAGAAGCAGTTAATCACTGTCACACAAGTTATGTTCTCACCTGATTGCCCACTCCTTAGCACCTTAACTTCTTCCCTAAGGGCTCTGTTTTCCTGCTGGAGTCTTTGTATTTCTGCCTTGTCTTCCTTCAGTGATTTGTTTTCCTGTCGGAGGCTTTGGATTT